ATTATATTTACATTTATATTCTTTAATTCATCAATTATATCTTCTGTTTTTTCTATTACTTTAAGATAATTCTCTCTTTTTGCACTAATATTTATTGCTTTCTATATATAGAGTTTTTCTTCTGAAGTAACTACCATTACACCTATCAGCTGTTTATTATTAACAATCATCCATCCATCAAATATAAGAATAGTACCAACAAAATCTTTATGAAGAGCTTTATATATTCTCATATCATATTCAGAAATAGCAACTTTTAAAGATGGTCTACTAAGAGTCTGGCGATTTGGAAGTTTTATTAGAGGATTTAAAAAATTGAACAATTCATATGCTTCTGGTTTATTTATCCAATTAAAAGCCCAACTACAAGCAATAATAAGCCTTAACAAAAGAACTTTAAATTTTTCATAATTTTCTTGTAATAATGGACAAACAATATAATTGTCAAGTGGGCCAAAGGAAGAGGAGAACCGTACAATAGTTTTTTGAGTGGATGATTGTGATGAAATAGTTATAACATCATATGATGAACTTGAAAAAACATATTGATAAATATTTTATATATATTAACTTAAATAAATTAAATTAACTTATTCTTACTAGATTGTTTAGTTGATTCATCATTAGACAAGTCAAAGAGTTTTTGCCTCTCCTCCAGAGTTGTATATTTCATAAAATTTATGCATTTTTTAAGATGCCCAATAACCCTATCTTTTTATTTAGAAAATATGTTTTTTTCCTATTAATCTCACTTATTACATCAACACATGCCTTACAATAAACCTTATAATTACTTTTATTAATCTTTTCTTCTATACTTCTAATAATATAAGGGCTTAACAAATCTATTACTACTTTACAGTTTTTTTTAAATTAGTAGTTATTTTGAAAAAAACTCCCAATTTTATTAATATATTTATCCTTTTTTTAAAAATAAATTTTTTTAGCACTAAATACAAGTTCATTCAGCAGAGTATAGTTTGTTAATTATTAATAAATACAGGTTATTTATTAAAAAATTTAAAACATAAAAAGGTGAACTTAACTAATAAGGTTTATATTATCATGTCAAAATCCTGACAAACAGAATCCAATGATAATCTAATGCAGATTTTGACCTTACAATTGATTCAAATCTGTTATTGCTCTATTCATTTAGATTTTGTGCATTATTCATAAGAAAACAAATAAGGCTTCAGCTTTGCATCATATGTTGCATATGTTATCAGCTTAATTAATCAGCTATTGCTCTTGGTTTGGATCAAAATCCTGACAAACAAATTCCATTATTGCTTTATTCATTTAGGCTTTATGCATTATCACATTATCACTTTATTTATTTGAGCTTTGTTTAAATACACATAATTTTTGGACACAATATATAAACATTTGGATATTGTTTGATAGCACAGAAAATCTAAGACAATATTCAAATTTCAAGTAATAAGACAATGCTATATTAGCATGTTTAATTTAGTTAAGTTTGATCAATTTATAATTTTTTGTGTCATGATTACAATGTTAGTAATTGTTATATTTTGTAGGATTTATTGAATAAATACTTTTTTAAAAATAAACTATATGAAATTATCTTTGCTTATCTGTATAAAATATTGACAATTTTTTTAATGTAGTCACAACGTATGCACTAATTACCAATGCATAGACATAATCAGTATTGTCACATGGACACAGACTGGACATCCATGTCCAAAGCAAGACAACATTGCCTGACAATCAATCTATCAAATTCAATAATCTACTTTATATATAAAATGTATTACAGTATATACTAATAAATTTTATTTATATATTATTATTGTAAATATATCAATTTTA